TAAATAGCTTAAACTTCCTCCTTTGGGTCTAGAAATACAACTTTAAAAGTTGTTTTTGTGTGTGTCTTGTTTTGTTGATTTGTTTTTGCAGAGAAAAGAGCATAGCTCTCTTTTTATTTTCTGTCTTGGCCAGAGTGTAGTTCTCTTTACAGCGGACAGTGCCCAGGAGTTGTTTTCATGGGAAATCCTTCACTCACTTCATAAGTGAGTGAAGTGACTCTGTATAAATCTCCAGTTTCCTGTCCCCAGTTTTGTCATGTAACCAGTGCACAGTTCTGGAGGTTTTATAGCTCTTCCAACAGAACACTTTGGAGAATTAAATAATCTTGGGGTGAAGACTGTGAAATCCACTTACAAATGAAAAAGCTCTTTTGAAATGTTTGTGTTTTTTTCTCAGCTAGATCTTGATTTTCTTCCTAGTACTTCTACACTACTATGGAATTCACCCCCAAGTGGAGGTGGGGACAGAAAAAGGAGGTTGTTTAAAATAACGTCGTCCAAAAGCAGTCACTGTTCATCCCGTCCTCCCTGTGTCCACCTTGGGAGTTTAACTTTTGTCAGGGATTCTTTTCAGTTCTAAATGTACCACATTCTTCTACACGTCAACATTCCCCCAGGAGATGTTCTTTCTCTTTCCTCCTGGATTGACGCCTGCGGACTGGTATTTTCTTTAAAGCATCTTTGATTTTAAAATTTGTCCAAGTGTCTTTCTCAGTCAACTTCCTTTCTCAATTTCAGGAAGAAATGGGAGGTAAAAAGATATCTTAGAAAATGCCTCCTTTGATGGCTACGAAGACTCTTTCAGACTCAACTGACAGTCAGGACTGTATGGTGGGGCAGCACTTCTGGATGTGAAGGATCAGTTCAGGATAATTTCCTTTCAAAATGTTCTAATAATTGGTTTCAACATCACCCATTGGCCACTGGCCTCCCTGCACAAAAAGTCAATATCAACTTATACTTGACTAAACATAGTTGAAGTCAGAAAAGCAAATGGATGTTTTGGTGATTGCTATAGACTGAACGTGCCTCTCTCCCCCAAATTACATTGAGACCATCTCAGTCCCCAATGAGATGGTATTTGGAGGTGGGGGCTTTAGGTCATGAGGATGGAGTCCTCATGAGTGGGATTAGGTCCTCATAAAAGAGATGTCAGAGAGCTCTTTCACCCTTTCCTTCATCTGAGGACAGTGAGAAGACTGTTGTCTATGAGACAGGGAGCCAGGAAGCAAACTTTCACCAGACTGAGAACCGACACTAGTCTCCGGAACTGTGAGAAATAAATGTTTGTCCTTTAAGCCACCTGGTCTATGGTATTTTTGTTACAGCAGTCCATATGGACTAAAACTGGGATAGAGATGCAAATGAGGCGCACAGGATTGAGCCAGTTCTGGAAAGGTAGGCCCATTCACTTGTGATCAGTTTGCACAATATACATTTGCCTACAGTGTTCATATTTAAAACAACAAAAATCAGCTTTCAACTTTAGAACATATGGTAAGGTGGTGAAGGTCTCTGTAGACTAATTTATAACATATGATTGAAAAGCTGATATACCCCTGAGGTAGGTTAGGTAAGGTGTACTGTTGGCTCAGCCAGCTGAAGGCTCACTGCTTCTGATGGTCTTTCCGACTGGGTATAGAGAAAATAGCAGTAACCATATCAGGAGCTGCATACCAGGTACCAGGGCATGTGTTAATTTTCTTCATTAATAAAAGAACATCTGGAATAGCAGATGCAATGGAAATAATCACTTGACTAGATCTACAATAACTGTCATTTTCCACAACCCATTTACCTTCTACAGTTGAGTAAGTGAGTTGAATAGAAATTTGGTGAATCTCTGTCCCTGTATCTTTCAAGTTTTTGATGTTGGCACTAATCTCTAAAATCGGTCCAGGAATATCAGTATTGTGTTTTGTTTAATTATTTTCACAGAGGAATTTCTGGTGGCCTCTAATTGGCCTTCACTCCATTAGTCATGGAAATGATATAGAGATTCTGTCTGGAATTGGGGAAGTAACCACAGGGTGGGCTCAGGGATCCACTGTGCCCACAGTGAAATGGACAGGAGGCAAAACTTCATTGGTTGCCTGACCTTCATGAGTACCTACTGCCTGGTGGACAGCAATGATGTTTTTTATCTCTAGCAAGTAATGCCGGTTCCGAGCCATTGTCTAGTAATTCCTGAAAAGTCTGATTTTTTCCTTTTCCCTAATGCACAATCACTTTGGTACATGAGCGCAGGTCCCTTTAGGAAAGGCTAGGAGGAAGAATAACAGTATAAGCTTTTGGCAATGTGCCGGTGGACTTTCTCAAGGGGAAACAGAATTCTCTGCATTCAAAACTGGCTTGAGTCTGGGAGACTTTTCTGCTACAGATCAGGTCCAAGATCAAGCTGCCCTCAGGGTCAGTTCCTGGTGAAGCCTCTTTTCGTAGAAATCCAAATTCCGAAGAGAGCAACCATTTCCGCGGCGCCGGCTCATCTCTGATATTTTCCCAGGGACCCTCACAGGCCTCGTCGGAACCCAGCAGAGGAGAGAAGGGAGAAAGAGAAAAACTGCCCCGTGTGAACAGCGAAACCATGCATCGGCGCGGGACTCTCAGGCTAATTTCTTCCTTCAAACAAAGAGTAAGTGCGAAGATTTGTGGGGTTTGTTATTTTTTAGTATAAGCAAGTTGAAATCAAGTAGAAGTACATATCAGGAAAAAAACCTTGTTTCCGCCCGGTTTCGAACCGGGGACCTTTCGCGTGTGAGGCGAACGTGATAACCACTACACTACGGAAACACCTGCTAGCTGTTGCTCCAGCTCTTATACATAACTGAGTAGATTTTGCCTGTATAGCCTGGGTTTATTCACTTCATGCCTTTTGAAGAAATGTACATTGTTGCAAAGCATTTCTCTCCCCTTTCCTCCATTTATGAAAACAAAAACAAAAACCTTTCATGATCCCAATTCTTGAATAAATTCCAGGCTTGGAAAGCTAAGGCAGCATCCTGGAGAATTTTTTTTTTTTGGTGAATTAAGGATATGAGTTTGTTGTTGTTTGTTTTGTTTTACTTTTTTTTGTTTGTTTTTTAAAGCTCTGATGCTTGCATTCAGACTCCACTGCTCTCCATAATATGCTGGTGTTACGGAATGAGAATTCTGCAGCCTACAGTTTCCAAGACTGAATTTAAGGTACTCTTTTGAGGCCCCACTGGGTGTGATTTTTCATGCAGTCTTTTATATGAACGAATCCTTCCACCTCAGCATTTCTATACAAAACACCCCACTGTCATCTCCTGACCTCAGGATCCTCATTTCCTAGCTGACAACAGGTTCACAATTTTCTCCATCATTTAACTTCTAAAAATCTCTGCTTTATCAAGCTGTCTTCAACATTGCTGGTGATATTATTCTCCAAAATTACAAAAAGGAAGAGATAGGATTCCAAACAGGATATTCTGTTTAAGCAGATGTGCTGACATATGGAAGATACGTGCCCATATATGGAAGTTTTCCATGGCGCATAGTATAAGTACTTTCACTGGATAATGTTGCTAATCTGTCCTGATCATTTGTGTAGAAAATACACCTGTATCAGATGCAAAAGACTGAAGAAGATCTTTCTTAAAGTAAAATGAAGATACCGCTTCTATGGAGAAGACCATCTCCACTGTTAGACAACTAAACAGAAGTCATGGTGGTATTGGATTTTAAGCTCTGGGAAGGTGAGGAAGGTATCATGTGTGGCTTTGGGACCATTATATTGGTAGTTCTCAATAAACATTTGTCAAATCAGGGGACAATATTCGAGGTAGCTTTCTGAAATGTATCCAAATTCCATGTGACATTCTTTTGCCCTGCAAGTGCTCAGCAGTATCACCTGGAAGTCTAAGTAAAATCTGGCAACATACCTGCAGGTGGTCACTCGTTTCACTTCTTGAAGTTTTCATGGTATCGTATGGATATTATATCTCACTTCTTCCAACTTCAATATAAGAACAAAACTGGCTATTTTAAAATATCAGTTGAATAAATGACATGTGATATAAGGATTACCTGAAACAATATGAAAAGCAACTGGCAACATGGTTAATTTCCTTATTGAGAGAGATTAGTCTGTTGCTATATTTTTAAAGGAAATAGTTTCAAGGAATGACAAAAGTACTTTTGGCACAGACATTTGGAAATATTTTAAAAATACAAAGCACTGAGTTCCATTTTGGTTAAGTTGTAGGAAGTTGCAAGTGTGTGTCCCTCTCAACCTACTAACTAAAGCAAAGCCATAAGCTTAAGGGGAGTAGATTTTCTGAACCCATCAGGAGCTGAGGATACTAAAGAATCAACATAAACTAAATTCCAAAAAGAGGCCTTCATAGGAGAAAAGAAGCCTCTGGCTGTCCGTATTCCTGGCAGATGGGCAGCGGCACAGAGGAGGAAAAACCTGTGAAGACCAGATTAGGAGAAACCAGAAGAAACTTAGACATTTTTAAGGTTTGCTTGTGGGCTTGCTTGACCCAAACAGAATTTCAAGTAGCCAAAACCAGTTCTGGTTGTCTCTGATGAGGAGAGTAGGTCAAAAGGGGGTGAGGGGAAAGGCTAGAAAGTGGAAATACCCACTGAGTCACTCTCAAGTTCAAAACATTCTGAAGTTGGGGAGCACGGCAGGAAAACGAAGAGCAAACAGCACTTTGTGTTTTAGCTGCCAACAGCCAGGACTGGAGAGCTGAGAGAAATCTCTCCAAGGCTTACTGAATGGAGAGAGATCTCACAGCCAAAGAAACCTGGGGGAGGACAGGAGAGAAAAGAGAATGCCCAGTCATCCAAACAGCTGACATTCTGGCTGTTAAGCAGAGAGAGGTTTCTCAAGGTTTGGAAATCCGGGAGAGTGGCAGTAAAACACAAAGGGAGGGGAAAAGACTACAGAAAAAGTACTGTAGTAAAAAATTTTTTTAATAAAAGTAAATAAATACATACAATTAAATTTTAAAAATTGGTTTTTCCACTCACTTTCCACCTAATTTTTACTAGATGACAAAGAAAATGAAGACAGCTACTAGTTCATATGGTGGATGCTGATACAAAGTTAAAGAAATGTACTAAAGATAAGAAATACCATCTCACAGCTTTTTAAACAATTAAAAACAAAATTTATAAATTCATTAAGGTAAAACAAGTAAATGAATAGTTAACTTGCCTCATTAAAAGAAATAGCTCTCTTTAGAATACTCTTTCAAATCTTACTCGATATACTATATATATATAAAATCAGTCAATTAACTTCAGATGCAGAAAAAATAGAGAAAAAAGAGAGAGAGAGAGGGTTGTAGGGTCCAACAGAGAAAAGAAAGCAAGCAGAAATTTGCTGCTCTACTGGTCCCTGCCATCGTTGACACCCTCTTGCAGGTAGATCAGGCCAGGCTCAAAAGGGCAAAGGTTTCCCAACTCCTTCCTCTGAGTTGCCTGACCTTGGCTTCAGTTCCCCTACTCCTCTCAGATTCCGGTGTTTCTCCCTGGTCCGGAACAAGGCCCTGACTCCGGACTCGCTGTGGTCTCGACTTCCCTTGTCATAGATTTGGTGATTTGGGGGGCATGGGGAGGGGTCAGAGGTTCAGGAGGGGGGCGGTCTTCACAGTCCTTTTGCCTCAGACCTCAGCCCTGCACTCTGGCGCCACCAAGTGGCCTATGGCTGACATTGCAGCGTAAGGTCCCTGTCTTACTCCGCTCCGGACGAACGGCTACAGATTTAGCTTAAAGGCGACTGCGGAGCCACCCTGAAGCCAAGCGGCTAAAGGCCTCTGGGAAGAGATGACCCCCCGGTATGACCTCCAAGAGCAGAGAATCCGCACCCCGTGCGCGGAAGCCGAGTCCACCAAGCCCTGCTCTGTGCTCTGTGATCCGCCCGCCACCATCTCAGGCTTGCGTTTCCCGAGGCCTTCTGGGAATAGTTTCAAGGAGGTAGTTGCTCCCGGACATTAATCTGAGTCTTCCTCGGTCGGTTTGAGAAAGACTGTTTTCCTGAGGAGAAGCACGGTTCATCCGTGCAGGCAACTGGGATTTGTCTTTTCCTTTTTGATAGAAAAAAGAACATTTTTTAAAACATTTTACAAAGACCGCCGACTTTAATTAGGTATAACTTTAAAACATGTAACTAAAGGCCTACGTCCGAGGGCGGCCGGTTAGCTCAGTTGGTTAGAGCGTGGTGCTAATAACGCCAAGGTCGCGGGTTCGATCCCCGTACGGGCCAGTACCCTTCACGTTCATTTTCTCGTCCCCGTCCTACCTATAGGCCCCATGGCTGGTGGAAATTGCACCCATACATCCAATCACAGACAGTCCTAATATCACTACCACTGAACGATTTGATTGTGTGTATTTCTTTTCAAAGAAATAAAGTACCAGAGTCAGGATGGAGAGTTTTTAAAGAAAATTGAATGAGGTAAGGTGGATGTATTTAGGGGAAGAGGAAACTGGGAGAATGAGAAAATGTCTTGCATCATTCTGGAAAAAACTTCAGGCAATAATGCTTTGATATAGTTTACACTTCTGAAATGTAAAAACATCATTCCTCTTCATGGCAAGTTGCTCACTGGGTTAGGGTATTTATTGTTTTTATAATGTCAAGGTCGCTGATTCGATTCCTCTTGAAGTATATGCCTCGTGGTATTTCGGTTTTCTTCTTCTCAATGTGGGAATATCTCAGGCTTGTGGCGTAGCCTCAGACCAGCAACCGCGAATGCTCTGCGGTAAAATGGAGCAATGGTGAGACTTCGGGTTATATTTGACCCTTACCTCGGTGCTGCCAGTTAAGAAGCCATTTACAACACGTCTAAATTTTTTTCGAACGTTTATCATAAAAGCGTTGGATTTAAGATTTGAATCCAAAATGAAAACGGGGTGCGCAGTGGGGGATAGGAGGGCAAGAGCCCCTGGGGCCGCTGTCAGTCTAAGTACCTCACTCTCCCTGTCTGTCCTTTTCTTCAAGTCTGGCGCCTGGGTCTCTGTGTGCCCAGCACGAGCCTCCTCCTGTTTCTCTCCTCGACCCTTGCACTGTCCCTCAGACTCCCAGCATATTTTTACTCTTTCTCTTGTTTAAATGTATGGGGTTACTTTGAAAATGACATACACGATATTGATTAAATAATGACATAAGTAATGTCTCAAGCACAGTGCCAGGGACATAGTGAGTAGTGCTCAATAAATCCAAGAAGGCAAGGCCTTCCTCTGCTTTGGTCAGTGCTGCATCCTTCATGTCAAGTACTGTGACTGGCTCAAAGCCAGCGCCTGAAAAAATGTTTTTAATTAATAAAGGGCATCCACTATTTCATTGCATATTAAATAATATACTTACAGATTTTAAGTATGAGAAGGCCTCGACAGGTTATTGCTAACTTTGAAGATGAAGGCGGCCACCAGCCATGGAATGTGGACATTCACTAGAAACTGAGAATGACCGCTAGCTGACAGCCTTCAAGGAATGGGAAATTCCTAGAGGTTTATCAGTACCCACTGTTCATAACATATTTCTATTTGTCAGAGTCCTGGTGTTGTTTTGCCTGATATTAGACAACATCAGTAGAATACAATGAGCCATAATTTCAGTTATCTTTCTAAATGTTAACTTGGTACACTTTGAATCTAACATCTAGGCAACTGGCTTTCAATTGAGGATTTACATTACTTACCTGTGAAACCTTATTAATATATAAATGTGTAGGACCTACTCCAGACTTATTGAATCTCTCTGCTTGATATTATTGATATATTGTTTATATATTCTTATTACGTGGTTTGGATATTCATGGCATATAGTGTCTCAGAATTATTATATGTTATGTATCAAGATTTTTTTTCTCTGTAAAGATTATGTTCATTCACATTTATAAATTAGATGCACTGTTTTCTGTCTTCTTTGAAAATATGGTTGATTGTTATGTCTACAGAGATTTTTGCCTAAAATTTATTTTGGAATGGCTCTGTTATTCCTTGCTATTCTTTTTCCAAAATCCCTTGTTAGTGGCATTAGTCTTGTTATAAACTCTCATCAGATCTTTCACTCCAGAAAGGCTAGTTAGTAAAATTTGTTATTTAGATTCCAGGCTGATAGGGTCTAAGGTTGTCTCTGGGGATTAATCTTTGCCCTTCCTGGTGGTGGGGGGGGGACTTTTAAAATGTATTATGTCCTTTGTATGTCCCGCTTTATAGGCAAATAGGGAAAGTGAAGTGAGCTTTTCTTGTATCTGCTTCTTCTCATTTGTCTTCAGCTCACAATAGTCCTTATGCCAAAGTGGTATATTTTGGGGTGGCATAATCTGCCACCCTTCATGACTACCTTTTTTGCTCACATTCCTTGGGAAGTAGATGGGGAAGAACTCTATGGATAAACTGAGGAAAATGAAACCAGGTTTCCAGTGAAGTATAAACAGGATTTCAGGCATAGTGCAGGACTATTTCTACTAAAGTGAAAAGACAGTGACTCTGGTGGAACTCCAGTCATAATCTTTGAAATTTCTCTAGATAAAAGGGAAAAGCCCAATGTATAGGCCAGTGCTACACAGTGTACATTTTAGCTATAAACTACAATGTCACTTAAGATTCAAGAAAGTGATAATCTACTTGTGATTTATTTCCTCAAAATGTCATTGAGCTCCAATTTTCCCCCTGTGCACTCAGTAGGTTCTCCTGATGCACAAACAAATATAGTTCCTAGGGCTGTACAAAACCAAAATGATGAGGGTCTACATTTGACATTGCTCTCTTGTTCTCAAAAATAAAAATGAGTCTGATTCCAAACTAAATGTCGTGGCTTATTAATTCTTTGCCTGACACTGATAACCAAACTCCATCATTTAGCTGACTATGTTGGATGTCACAGTTTAAGAGAGCTGAGACTGAACTTCCAAGACAGAATTTGAAATCTTACTCTCTATCAGGTACTGGAAGATAATTTGTGCTCAATTCATATACCAATCATTAGCAAATCCATCACTTTCTATCAATTACAAGAAACTTACTCACTTTTCCCTTCATCACAACTCTTCATATTGTGAAGGTATTATCTGGAAGAAGACTCTCCACAATTGGAATAACAATTCAATACAGACTTTACCAGTAATATAAATTCCTCAATGCATCTCCAGCATGTTTAGTGGCAACTACACTGTTGAAATACAAAAACCGAAAGGGAAAGGGAAAGGCCCCGCTGGGATTCGAACCCAGGATCTCCTGTTTACTAGACAGGCGCTTTGACCAGCTAAGCCACAGGGCCCCCTCTCAAACTACACTTCGGTTATATCATATTTGTAACATTTTCTGTGAAATGTAGCATTTTTGCCAGAAACGTACTTGATTTTGTGACAAAGAGAACGCACCTGTATTTCTGAACTATATTTCTACACTAAAGCAGAAACTTCAACATTAAAAAATAAAAATGCATTCTTCAGCGCGAGGTTTTAAAAATTATTTTAAATTGGAGTGAAATTCCTATTTCATGGTGACTATCGCCCTCTAGAGGAAATATTGGATATTGCAACACATTTAAAAATTTTCTCCGTTAATTCATTTTGTCAACAAATGTGGTCACTACTGTATTTCAGGTAGTTTTCTAGGTACTGGAGATAAAGCAGAGAACCAACCAAACGAAAACTTCTTCATCTATAGGATTTGTATTCTAGAAGCAGGGAAATAAAGCAAGTTTTAAAAATTTCTCCCTCCAACCCTCCCCCCCACCAAACAACGATAGATGTAAGCACTAATTCCGCTACCGCCAGGCTAAAGAGCCCACGGTGCTACTCTCTGAGCTAATTCACTGCACATGAGCAAGACTATCATGCTTCCTTCTATTTTATCTAACCTGGCATAAGAAAGCAAGCAAAGATAAGGACACTCTGATGCACAGGAGATTCTGCTCATTGCACCGTTGAGTTAAAACTGACTTGATTCCTGTCTTCATAGGTTGTAAAAATGAGTGGAGGATGCAGAGAATTAAAGAGAAAATTAGGGTACAATGTGGTAAATAACTCCCGCAGGATGCCGTGGGAGCCTCTAACTTGGGCAAGATGCAGGGCGTGTCTTAGCAGAGTCACATGACCTCTCTTCTCAGTTTCCAGGTCAGGTTGATGATTGCAGAAGGGGTTGTGGCATGTTGGCCGAATACACCTTAGCGTGGGGGAAGAATAGATGAGACCACCATTCTGAAATGTTTAAATAACCGCCTTGTGCCTTGTGCTTTATGGGAAAGGACGAGGGCTTATGTATTCACAGAACATCCACAAAATGCAAGACCTTGGAGAAAACAGAAATCACTTAGGAGATCCTGTGACAGATTTACACACCCGATTTCCTCTAGGCACCCCTCAGCTCTTCCCTGCCTGTCTAGCCTGTGCCTAATCTACTTGCCCTTTCTTACAACAAGATTTATTCATTCCCTTTGTCCCTATGTCCTGCTGCCATTCCTCTCCTTACATAAACAACTTTTCTAATTTGTTTATTGTGTATCACTTTGATCATATATATATATATATATTTGCAAAATTGACATTTTTGTTTTGTGCACATATATTATAAATTTATATAAATGATATATATTCTTATGTCTTCAAAAGAACATTATAACTTTAAGATCCATCAAAGTTGCTCTGTGTGCACTTAAATCATTGCTTCTAATTGCTGTGTAAGATCTCATAATGAGCACTGTATTTCCTCTCTTCTGTCCCAGTGATGCGCTCACAGGTTGCCTCCATTGTCCCCCCACTCCATATAACATCACTTCCTCATCCATCCCCCTTTATGTACTTGTGCGAGTGTGTATATATATGTGTGTGTGTATATATATATATATACACACACTGATTAGTGTATATATATATATGTATACTAATTAATCCCAGCTTATTTTTGTCAGTCTACACTCCCACCAGCGCTGCATATCCCTTTATCCCTGCCCAGGCTTAACATTATTCAGCTTTCTACTCTGTAATCTAGTATGTGTAGAGTGATAAATCTCATCATTGTTTTCTTTAAAATTTTATTTATGTTTTCTAAAGATTTTGAGCATCTGTCTATATGTTTGTTAGTCATTCGAATTGCATCTTATGTACACTGATACTTTTCTTATCATTTGTCCATATTCGTATAGAGGTTGGTGTATTTTTCATGTTGATATACCTGGGGTACATTGTATATTGTAGTCATTAGTCTATTGTGAATTTTAGACCTTGCAGTATTGTCTACTGTTATGTTACCTGTCTGTTGACTTTGACAGAACTTCATGGCAGAGCCTTGATTTTATTAAGGATTTATCGTTTTTTCCCCTACTGGTTTGTACTTTTGAGGTTATGCTTAAAGGGTCTTTCTCTGCTACTAGGTTAAAAAATATTCTCTCTTTTAAAAAGTATAGAGTTTCTTTTTTATATTTGAGACATGATCTGTCTAAATATCTAGAGAAGTGTACTGGATTTTTATATGATAGTCTATTGGGGTTGTGTCTTCTAGTGTCCTAAGTTTTGGTTTAGTAAGGGTCTCCAGGATGTGTTGGTGGTCATGTAGCATCCTACACTTCCTTTACTTAGCCTCCTCACATTTTCATGAAATTATGTATTTAGTAAAATTGTGTGCTTTTTCTGTTAAAATATATGTCTGCAAGGTCAGGGAGAGTCTAACAACCCAGCACAAGTCATAGCACATAAATAGTAAATTTTATGAAAATAATTGTTTGAATTATGTTTTATGAATTTCCCATC